TTTTTCTTTACATCTTTTGTTTCGTCTGCTATGATGCTGAAAACCTCACTGTTTTTCACTTCTTCTGTAATTTCAGTTCGAACCATGTCTGCTAAACAATCCAGAACCTCATTCTGAATGATTTTGCTTGTATACTTTGCATTATGAATGGAAGTCAACCGTTTTTTAATAGCTTTGTCGTGGTTAGCAATTGTTTCCTAAATTGCCTTGAAGTTCCCTTTATTGTCTGAGTCTGCAGACTCATTATGCCCTCTTTGAGCTAAATTTTGAGTGGCAGTAAGTAAGAGCACTTCCCCTATTGTTTTTATATATTCACAATTTTCTTTAACCTGTCTGTTGTGCTCCTTGTTTAAGACATTGACCAGTGTTGCATTAGCTGCTGCAGCTTTCTGATAGTCCCTCCATGTAACCATGGCTTGTTTATGGCGCTCAGACCTCGCATGCAATGCAAACCCCGCCTCTTTGTAAGATGCATTCTTCCAGTTTTTAAAACCAACTGGGGAATCAAACACAGTGTCTGGGCTGTTGGGAGGGCTAAAATGTCTGCAAGCGTAACAATACGCAGAGTCCAAGTGTTGTGAATATTCAAGCCAGGGGTGAATGTGATACCAAGCTGCTTTGAAGCTCCTCCTTCTGTCCCCCATCAAGGTTCTTGGAAACAACTTTAGGTCTGGCTGCATCGCTGGATCTTCTTTACATTTGCTGATGTCTGTGGAGAAAGCCAAACAGAATAAATGTAAATTAACATATAATCTGCATGGACACTGCATATAAACTGCAAAGCGCGCACACACACACACACACACACACACATACATCACAAACCTGATGGTCCAGTGCTTGTGGATACACAAATATTCTCTGTCTGTCTCACATGCTGCTTGTATCTCAGTCTCAGCTGTCTCAATTTCAGGATCTTCATCTGTCTCTCTTTCTGTCCCTGTGCCCTCTCGTTGAAAACCAGTGTCTTCCAAGTCCTCTGGCTCTGTGGGGCTCTCAACTTGCTTTTCTTCAGCTCTCTCAACACCTCCATCATCTGTCTCTGTCTCAATGTCTGCCTCACTGTTATTTGTCTTTCTTGTGCAGAAATAAGATGTAATGTCCTTCTTTCTCTTCATTTTGAACTATAGGCAAACATGCATGGAGAGGAAAATACAACACTTCAGCAACTATGAATATTTTTTAACATAAGTTAGCTTGGTTGTGTGTTGTGGTACGTTAACTAGCGTTAGCTAGAAGCATGCAACATAAACGCCTGGTCTGATAGGCTGCTATTATAATTCATAGCCAACATCATTTCTTGACAAGAATTGTTACCTTGTATTGTTCGTAGTGGTAATCGTGGATGACGGTCGGTAACTTACTTCCCGCTCTTCTTTTTAAACGGATATCTGCCGTTCGCAGTGGTGCAATGCACTAAAAGGTCCGACTAGAATGTTGTGCCATGAGAATTGGTTCCGCTTCTTGCTCGGAGGGCGGGCCACAGGTAGGGCCAGGCTCCGTGTTACAGGGGCACTGGCCCTTGTTGGCCCCACTCCAGAACCGCCACAGCATAAATGTGCATTACTTATTAAATAATTAAAGAAAACGGACAGAGTCTGAAAGTCCACCCTCCAGGCCTGAGGGTGACAGCAGGTAAACTTAGACTTATGCTTCACTCCTCCAGCTGAAATGACAACCTGCACCTAGTAGCTGGATTCAGGTTTCCTAAAAGCTTAGTGTGTGGGTGCGTGCGTGTGTGGCTCCACTGGGTGCTCCCCGGCATCACCCTCCACTCCTTCTCCCCAACAGGCGGCTATGCAGAGGCAGTGACGTCACCAGACTAACTCCCTTCCTGCTGCATCACAGCAGCCTCAGCGGCTAGAGTAGTACTGGTGACCGGGGGGGACGGGATATCCACCATCAAATTCATTGATAGAACAGGACTACTGACTGTGCAGCACTGACAGCATCCTAACACGGGGGTACGCGACAGGAACTGGTTGCAGGACGATAATACCCCTCCAGCTGTTGGGATATGGCCAGGCCGGAACAGGTTCTGCTCTTGGAGCCTCAGCACGAACTGAAATTCAGAGGTAAGAGGGGAGGGCCCGGCTTTGGACGGGAGGAGATGGGGGGTAAAGTTTCCTCTGCCTAAAAAACAGGAGGGCAGTCCACTGTTGGGCTAGCTAAACCGGAAAGAGGCTGCAGGGCACATTTTTGACACCATTCGTGTGGGAGACGATGATTCTACGGCAGCTAGCTAGCTGGACAGCTAGCCGGATTAGCTTTCAACGGTGAAGTCAGCCAGGCCCTGTCACATATTTCTCCTCTAGCAATTCTTTTTATAACAATGTAAACATACACCCTGCATCTACGTGAATATAACACACGATAATCATGTGACCACAAAGTAGCCGTGCAGAAACTCTTTAAAAATGTGCATTAAGCTCTAACGTTGTTAGCAGTTTTCGCTCAGTACAATTAGTCCCGTTCCCTGATTGGCTGTTTCTCTTCTGGCCCATTATCCTGCTCTCTGATTGGCTCATTTTCCCTGCTGGACAGCCAGGTGTCATGAAGTAACTTGACAACTCACAGGACAGAGCTGAGCAGCACCAGCTATTTAGTACAATTAAAATGCCTTCTACTTTTATAGTTTGGGCATACATATAAGATAAGCTTGGTGTCTTGTTGCAAGATGTCACATTACTTTAGGCCTAGAAAATGTTACTTAAACATTTATAAGACTGATTTATGTGGAATGCAATAGATTAAAAAGCTAAACTCTAGTTAGAAATTTAAACATTTGCTTTAAGAAAAAGGGGTTTATGGATTTCATACTTAAAAAATACAACAAAATATTAATCTAATGTAGTAAGCCTTTCAGTTCCAACATGATCAGGTACATTTGGTTTGTGAAGTTCAAGTAAATTTGACACTTTTAAGAACCTAGCAACAACAACATATTATCCCACTGCTCGACATAATAATAAGAAATATTTAATGCAGTTTGGTGTTTAACAATCATCAACTTTAGACATAAGTTCAAACCAAAACTGATATGATTTATCTCTCAGTGAATTAGGACTTCTCGATTAGCTAAAAAAGAAAATCGTCATTGTTAACACAAGTCAGATTATTATTATTTACCATGTCTGGGCATTATTTTGATACATCAGACATACATGCATTATTATTGACTTTCACAACACTTTTTTTTAAAGTAAATTGTTTCTCGAGAAATCTATTGGTGTTTACATTTTCACCACAAGCCTTGCCAGCCCTTTCAGATCTATAAAAAAAAGCTTACACTATATCAAAATTGCAAAATAGATTGAGAGCGCTAAACCATTGTTGTTGTTTTATTTTGACCGTCTTCCCTTCATAATAATTGTGGATCCAATTTGTGGTTAACAGTAAAACTCGATTGCGCAACCATCATAAAAACGTCATTCCTCCAAATATCTTATGATGTCCCATTATTCTTAAATCTTTGAATGGTTGCCTTACCTGTGTATATTCAGAGATCCAAAACAGACCTGATGATGCCTTCTCAGTTTTATCTTACTTCTTTTGCGTTCTTAAAAAACAAAAACAAATGCAAACACACAATTACCACTTTACAACCTGCCAAGAGTGACGATGTGTTTAAAAATTCATTCACATTTTAGGCTTGATAGTTTTCACTTAACCCATGTGTAAGTGTATATTAACCAGAGAGCATTAAAACACAAGGTGAATATTTTGTCAGTCAGTCTGCATTGTTGTCTCTCCAGCTTTTGAGAAGTGTGCAAAAATATAAAAATCCATCATATAATGGTTTTATTTAAAAATGTCTAAATGATTTTACCTGTAAAAATATTCTTGTCTGCTGTGCTTTTTACTGTTGACAGCATTGTTAGAGTCCAGTATTGACTCAAACTACCATAATGTGATTTGTTGCCTACTGCACTGATTAATTGTAAAAAAAATTGTTGTTGTTGACAACTACGGCTCAGAGCGAGTAGCTTTGGCTATACGCACAGTTACTCTTGTATTTTCTTTATTTTGAAGGGATTTTTGACAACAAAACAAATGTGCTGCGGACTTCTTTTGAGTAGTAACCAGCAATAATTTTGACAGACTACAGGGCTGTTGTAAGTCGAAGTAAAGAAAAGACGGCTTTCTCTTTCCACGATTACAGATTAACTCCAAGACAATGCTGTGGAAGCTCTTGTAGGACTTTTGGATTAAACTGAGTTGTTTTAAGACTTGGTATTGAATCTTAAAACCATTACACAGTTTTAATGTGTTGTGCCGAAATAAACATGTTAATCCTTGGTTGCAGGCAAGACTTAAGGACTTGTGTGTTTTAGAACACTACACAATACAACAAATCACATGCATATCCTTAAGTCCAAGATAATATGTAGGAACGCAATGAGAAACCTCAGGGAATAAAGTATAATCTTTGGTCTCAACTTGGATCTGGCGCAGACCTTTTATAAAATAAGTCTTAAGAGTTAAGCACTGGACTTTTGTCACCTTTTCAAGGTTTTGGACAGTTACAGCTTTCTCCAAGTTAATCGTCAAATATCAGCTTATCCTAATAGTTTTTAACCCTCATTTGTGATTTTCATATGTTTGATGCTGTTGCAAGAAACTGATAAGGTTGGGTGATAAGGTCTGATAAGAAAGGTTGGGTGTATGGTAAGAGTCCTTTCATCAAAATTCTTTAGATGTCAGGCCAAGTACATGCACGTCTGAATTTACCTTCTGTTTTTGCTCAACGGAGAAGGCAAGTGTCGGTTTCTCTGAATGTTTGTTGAGCTGAAACTTTATCTTGAATCTGGTTTATGTTCTAATTCTTATGTGGCTTCATGTTTTGCTGCTGTCAAATTTAGACATTAACCTCTATGTAGCTGCCCCCATGGTGGACTGATTTGTGTTTTTAGAGCGCTCCTTGGTAAGAGTGTTTGTCCTGCTTGAACAGTCTGCATCATTTGGAAATACACAATCAAACCATGAGGCTATTTAAATGAGAAATTATATTTTTTATAGTCAGTCCTTAATAGCAGGGGTTTTGAACTTTTCTCAATAACATTGTTAGACATTATTTGAAACATCTTCAAGCTAGATGTGTCTTTTATCAACAACAGGAAATATTAACATTGTGTTGAAATGTAGCAGGACTTATTTTTTTGCTAATTTATATATTGTTTCAAAAATTGATTGAGTCATATTAAATCTAATTTTCATTTTTTTTTTTACCATTTGTTGTTGGTACTTTTCTGCCAAGTTTGAGTAGTTGTATATTTATTGTCTATGCTGCTCGCTTGACTTTGAATCACTTCTGTCTACATTAGACTACACCTTTCTGGAAAAATACAGGAGTGACTAACCCTCGCCAATAAAGTATTGCTAAACTCTCTGGAATTCCTGTCAAACTAGAAACTGTTGCCAAAAATACCTGAAAGTAATGTGAGTTTACACTTTAAAAAAAATCATGTTAAGTTTGATATTTGTAAAAATCCACAAATACAAAAAAGTTAAAATATTAATTAATTTAAAAGGAAAATATTGTAAATGTTGTTCTTAAAATAAATCTACTGCTCATTTCCAAAGCACGTTTTCACTTGTGATCATGTATAAAATGGGGGAAAAAAATCACAATCTATTGTAAAAAGCTGAAGCTTAACAAAACATGGAACGGCTGAATGCATCTGAAAAGCATCTTTCTGCACTGTATTTAATCAGCTAATTTATCAGCATGTGAACCGTAATCAGAGAGAAACCTTAAAAAAAAATTGGTTTATAAAGTCTTTGAGGTATTTTATCTCATGCTTGCTCTTATTGGTAGTGATTGAGCATTTTGGGTTTAACTTGTACTGGGCCTCAGACAATATTTGTATTACCTAGAGTCCAGTAACTTCATATTTGCACAATGTGTGGGATATTTTCCATATTTCCTTTGTGAGTCCGCTGGCTAAGTTGCATTATCCCTACACTATAAAGGCTGTTGTTTTTGCTCTCAGTTAAATTAATGTTTTGGTTTCTTTTCCAGCTTTCTTCGTTTCTTTGTACCCTAATATATGTAATAACAAATAATTATTTCCACTGATGGAAACAGCAGAAAGCTTTACAAACATCTTAAGACTCTAACCACATTAAGTACTTAACTTATTTTACTAGGGCAATGTTAATTCTGTACAGCAGTCCAAATCAATATTTTGCTCAAGTTTTACTCAGCTTTTATATTTGGCAAAGGTTATTTGGCTGTAACTCTAGTTTTTTTTTTTTTTTTTTTTTGCATTATTGATCAGCCTGTCCAAGTTAATGTAGCTGTGGCCTCAGAGAGATGTGGGCTGCATCCACAATGTGGATGGCTGTAATTAGCTGAAGCAAAACTGCGTTAGCTGCCCTGGTTTTGGTGGTGCTGTACCTGTAACATGGTGTTTTTTTAGATTTGTGTATATACTTGACTGTTTTAGTGAGTTTTTACTATAATGTAATTTTTTTTCCAAATCAAGTCTTTGACAGCATATACATCAGTCAAAAGTACAGCTGAAAGATACAAATTGCTCAGTTTGTATTACAGTAGTAACATATTTAAAACAGTCCGTTACACTGTATATTACTAATTCTTCTGGATTACCATTAACTGTCAGTGCAGTTAGTTGATTAAAAATGCATTGTAGTTGAATTAGCAGTAAAACCGTGTTTGAATATCAGGAAAAATAAAGTATACTGTAAATTAGAAAGGCACTGTGAGAGTAGGAAGCCCTAGTTTTACATTTAAAGCATGTTTGACTTGTAATATTTTTGTGATTTATATTTAGCAGAAACAAAAATCATTGTAAAAGGAAAAGATGTTTAAATTACAACGGAGCTTTAGGGCCACGCTAAGAAAACAAAAAAATTAAAAGCCATAAAATTACGAGAATAAAGTCACAGTATTACAAGAATAAAGTCAAATAAAGTCTTAACATTACGAGAATAAAGTTGTATGAGACTTTTTTAAAAATTTTTTTTACAGCTGTCGTTATTTTTATTTGTTTCCCCGAGTCGGAAACACAACACGACCTGTCAATCAATCCAGTAGGCGTGTCAGCAAATG